GGGAGGGAGGGAGGGAAGAGGTGTGTTGGGATGGATGGAAGGATGGAGAGATGAAGTGATGCAGAGATCATGGGATGCAGAAATGGAGGGGTGAAAGGAGGGAGGGAGTGAAGAATGCACTGATGGTGGGACGAAGGAGGGATGGAAGGATGTAGGGATGGATGCAGAGATGGAGGGAGGCAGGAATGGATGGAGAAATGGCCAAGCAGTGGGTGGCCAGCCAGGCAGGTGGGTTGATGGGTGGTTGAGGAACCCGCTGGGATGGGCGGATGAGGGGCTGGACGGAGGGACAGCAGGACAGATGGGTGGACGAGGGGAGGCTCAGCCTGTGCTGAGCCCCAGCTGAGCCCCAGCTGAGCCCCGGCTGAGCCCCGGCTGCCCGGAGCATCCGAGGCCGGGTCCACAGCCGAGGCTGCAGCCCCGATAAGGATCTGTGTTTACAGTACAGATTTTATTACCAGGTCTCCTGTTTACAGCAAACGAGCCCAGGAGGGGCCCGTATTTACCTCGCTGCTGGGAAAACACGGCAGCCAGGAGCTGGCCTGTCCTCCGGAGGGTGATACAGCGCGGATCCGGTTACCCCGCCACGCTGCCGGCACGGCATGGCACGGCACGGGGGAGCCACAACCACGTGCCAGGGCCTGTGGCTCCACCAGCCATCCCCAGTGCCCTCCCAGTTTACCCCACAGTGCAAACCATCACCGTCCCAGGAAAGCAGCCGGCACAGCCGAGCCCTGTGCCACTGACACCCACCTTTCTGGCAGTAGCTGGAGGTCCAGCAGCGATAATCCAGCTGCCCGTTGACGCTGGTCTGCACACACGGCTTCTCCACGTCCAGGATGCCCGGGCAGACGTCGGCGCACTCCTCGGCCAGCTTGTTGCCGACGATGTAGGTGCTGTCCCCGGTGTCGGGCAGCAGCAGCCCCCAGTCGATGGTGGAGAGGTGGCAAAGCTCCTGGTTGCGCTCGATGCGGACGGAGCCGCGCAGGATGTGGCCCAGGCTGTGCAGCCCCACGTCCCGCAGGTGCGGCATCTCGAAGATGACCAGGGCGTAGCTGAAGAAGAGGTTGGTGCCGCGGATGACGGAGAGGTTGGGGAAGAGGTCCCGCAGGCTCTCCAGCCCGTAGACGCGGAAGAGGAGCAGGTACTCGGTGATCATGAGCAGGCGAGGGAAGCTGAGCCCCCGAAAGTCCTCGGCGCCCGTGGTGAACATCAGCAGGATCTGCAGGTTGCCCTCGATGATGGAGCAGTTCTCCAGCTTCTGGAGCTGGGAGACGTCATTGCGGATGTCCATGCTGCCGCAGACTGGGGTGGCGAGAGGGGGGACCCCATGGGCGGCAGGGACGGGGCAGCTGACCCCCACCCCCACCCTGGGATCCCCCAGGGGTGCTTGGCAGAGTTTAATATCCTGGCGCTGCCTGTCAAACGTGGCTGGAATTGGTTTGGGCAGCCAGGAGACACGAGTGGCTGTGACAGGCAGCTGGCGCGCTGTGGCTCTTGGGGGCACAACGCGTCTGTCAGCGGGATGCTAACGAGGCCTGGCAGCCCTGGCGCCTGCCTTGCCCCATGGCAGCCCCAGGACCGCGTCCCAGCCCCACTGCCCACCCCAGGGGAAGCCAGCTGGGGTATGCAGACAGTTTTCCCCTTCCCTGAGTTGTGGGACAGCCGTGGGGGTCTCACGACATCTCTCCCCTGCCGCGGACCCACAGTTACCCAGTGAGTGGCAGCTCCTGAGAGGTTGTTCCCATTAACTCCCCGGCGGTGCCCAGGCAGGTAACGGGGCACACAAGGCTACCACGGGTGCCCGTGTGGCACAGCCTGGGCCACATTTGCTGTCCCAGGGCTTCTCCACCCAGGTTCAGGCAGGGAGCAGGAGAACTGAGGCAGCACAAGCCCAGCATCTCCTGCTTCCCAGTCCCAGCAGGGATGCAAGAGCCAGGATGAGCAGAGAGCTTCCCACTGGCAGCATCCCCAGCCCAAAAGTGCTGTCCAGGTCCTGGAGGGGGTCGGGGCCGTGGTTCACCCCTTGTCTGGCCCTGCCAGCCTGGGCTGGTGGCTCATGACCGTACCCTTGTGACCTTGTGCCCGGTGGCATTTTTCCCCTCTCAGTGTCACCCATTAACTGCTGGCACCGTGATCCCGTGGGCACTGAGGCTCTGGCAGCTGCCTGTGCCCACTCACCCCAGCACCACACCAGGGCTTGGCTCCTTGCTGGGAGCCCTGTCCCCCCCCAGTCAGGACAGGAGGGTCCTCCATCTTCCCACAGAACCGGCCCTGGGTGCAGCACCAACCCTGGGGGTCTCAGCCCCTGCTGCCACCGTCACCTCCCTGACCTTGCAAAGTCACCCTGTGAGGGGACAGGGGTCCCCCGTGCCCCTGAGGGG